AGCAAACAATGTTTGTCACAAAAGTGATGTAACATCAGATGCTCTACATGTGGCAGACAAACAACAAACCTGAAATCTCAGTGTGCTAACTGATCAAATAAATGATAACAAATGATCTAAAAAAATAATAAATACACGAATGATTAACTAGAGGGAGGAAACGGCTTCACTGTAAAGCCCCACTGAGTACTTTTCCACAAGAATGTTTTGGTCAGCTTAGATGATGCTGAAGGTCTGTAACCAGTTTATGGAAAGGCGGTCCACACTGCGAGTGGTCAGACTGATGACTCACACAGGATGAACCCAGCCACCTTAACACAGAAGGTGAACGAAACAGAGTTAAACAGTCTTTTGCTCTCGATCTGCGCTGATTGACAACGACACAAGAGAGGAGGCACACCTAAAATAAGTGTGGCCTTACTCATAATTATGTTTAATGAATTATGAGTGAGAGGTAGAGGGCAGATATCTGAATAAAATAGGACATATGATGAATAAAGGAGCAAGAAAAGATTATTTAAGTGTTTAGGTTGCTACAGTTGCAGTTCAACTATAGAAGGTCAACATGATGAGGAAGTGTGCAGAGGGAAGAGATGGATCAGACAATTAGGAGAAGACTCGGCACAATACTTGGCGCTGTGTGTGAGACTAGCAAGCAGATGTAATTTGAGTCTCCCAAGAGGCAGTTTTCACCTCTCCACTGTCTTACCCACACACACACGCAGGGCTTGGTCAGCTGATACTTTACAGCCCTCCATCACCTGTCTGCCAATAGCTCAGGCTGACAGACAATAAGGAGCTTAGAAATGCATTAAAGTCTTATTAAGGACATTTGGATTTCTATCGTGTGGCTGTTTACGTAAAATAAAAAGAAAAAGAGGAGGAGAGGGACTCAAATGTATCTTTTGTTAACCTTTTTCCTTCCGGAGCAATTTAATTTTGTTTTTAAAATCTTTTGAGCATTAGCATCTGACATCAGCCAGAGAATCCACACACATACTTCCTCTGTGTTTGTTGATTTAATGTTGGATTGCTTATGATGGGAACAGATAAACATTTTCAGGAAAAGCAAAGTCGCTCACTTCATCGAGGGACACTTGTGTTGATCCTAAGCTCTAGATAAGAATGGTATGGTTATGAACAGCACAATTCATAGGCCCCCTTTATGGAGAGCTAAGAAGCAGTGTTTGTTCAAAACTTAACCCCTCTAAGTGCGCACTGACGATAGACAGGAAGCTTTCATAATCACAAAAGAAATTACACCTATGAGTTCTGTCTCTTAAACAGGAAGTGACGGCAGTGGACGTTGGATAAAGGGAAAGAAGAGTGCAATGTTTATCTAAGTGTGTTGATTAGAAAGCCAACTTTTGAATGCTGGTTCCAGTCCCAGAAATAACAGGAAATCCGTTATTACCAGAACTATAAGTCATCTAAACACCACCCAGATACTGGAATAAAGCACAGAGACCACTGGGGTAAACATTCACCAGCTCAGTGGCGGGTATGACGTGAGGGTTCATTTAACCACAATGGATGAGAATTCAAATTGTGCTTTCCATGCAATTGAGATGGGAAGTAGATTTTACTTTCACATATCAACACCGAAAAACACACACACACACACACTTTTAACTGTATGCTTGGAAAGGACCGACAGACAAAGAGTGAAACAGAGTTAGGGGGGATCTAAAGTATAAGAAAAACAACACTTTCTCTGAATATAAAAGCATCCCAACTAATTCTAGTTCTCCTTTTAACATTTACATTTAGAAAATTATTTATTTGCATTTTTTTCATTTCTTTGGAGCAATAACAACAGGAATCTATTGGTAGGTGGGAAGGAAGCACAAAGGTAAAATGGTAAAGTTAATTAAAAACAGAATTGCCATAACTCATGCTTATATTACAGCTTGTTTGGGTAAGTTCAGCACCTCTAATTTATCCTATGACCAAGCATAACCTGTGATGTGCTCTACAAAATGGTTGAGCAGGAAGTTAAAGGACAATCAGAATGAATTCCATTGTGTGTGTTGATTTGAACGTTGATAGGTTATGAGTTATTCACCTAATTTTAAGTCAAATTTCAGCATTTAATGCTTAGAGCATGGTCTTAATGCTGTCTTAATAAGGGGAAGACAAAAGAAAAAAGGAGGATGTCAAAAGGAATTGCACTCTATGGAACATAAAAATCACAGTCATCCAGCTTGAGGCCGCTCTTCCTGAAGGTGGCAAGCAAGACAAATCATTATCATCTCCCAGCAAAAGGACTGCTGACGCACGAAACGTTGTCATTGGCAACTATCCACACTCTGTCAACAAATTATTCTAGGCTTGGAATATTATTGGATTTATGTTGACCGTTTCACTAAAACATCTCTAATCTGATCCCCAGGGGGCTGGGGAGGCGGGGTGCGTGGGTGTGGGTGTGGGGGGGTTCTGGGTGGAGTTAGCATGTTCTCCCTGAGTCTGCGTGGGTTCTCTGGCTTCCTTCCTTTTTCTCTGTGTTGCCCCGCGATGGATTGGTGACCTGTCCAGAGTACCTGTCGCCCAATGCCAGCTGGTATAGGCTTCAGCCCAAGTGATTCATTAAACTTTTGTAATTTCATGCCTTTCGCATTATATCTGAGAAATAATATTACCTTATATATAGTATATTATAATTACATTTCGTAAGCCTTTTAAAAACGCTGTGCTCATATTCTCTTGGTGGCACCCTATGCTGCCTTCCTTTGTGATGATGCAATGCCTAAATGTATAGCTTGTGTTGACCTTAGTTTTGTGACATTTTGAACACAATATTAGAGCTTTGAACAGGATGGTAACAACGGAGGCGGTAATATACTAATAAAATCCCTCATCTTCTCTTATTTTCAACCCCTTTAAGCTTTCACAGAGAGGCAAGATGTTATTCTAGTTCTCCTTGGTTCACTGTAGCTTTTGCAGAGTGAAATAAATCACACTGGCAGCTTTAATTTTCCCCACACAGAGGACAGAGTCAGTGACTAATTACAGCCACCACATATAGAAAGCCTTCTCTGTAAGAGGGGGCTGGAGCAGAGGCTTTAAGCCAGATCCATAAGTTCAAGAGACAGTCTTATCAATAATGATCTCTATACCAATAGAAATGTAGGATAATTTGCCCTCTTCCATTTCAAACAGGCAAAACACCAAAAAATGATAATCAACCACCCAAAACGGACTAATCTTCTGCAGACATGATATTTTGGCTGGCTATGTGGTGGTGTGGCTGCATATACGGCCCAAGTTTTAGCAAGATGTGGATTAAGACAAATCATTACAAATTCAGACCTTTGAATGACCTTCAAAACTTGGCTGTTTTGGTTTCTATGGGGAGAGAGAAGAGGTTTGAATCGTATGAATGTTTCTGGAAGTCTCTGAAAAGGAAGGGCACAGACTTTCATTTTCAGATGTATTGAAAAACACGCACAAGGACACACACTGATTCAGGCTCTTAATGATGCAAAAGGCTGTTAGATATTAAATCAATTCAACAGTTTTATACCGATTATTCCCAACAGGGTCGCATTGGGGCTGGAGCCTATCCAAGCTGACAGAGAGGGGCCACAGTCCATCGCAGGGCCACACAGAGGCACACACACTCACATTCACACCTAGGGGCAATTTAGGGTCAACCTTACATGCATGTTTTTGGACACTGGATTAAGCCAGAGTACCCAGAGAGAACCCACACAGACACAGGAAGAACATGCTAACTCCACCCAGAAAGGCACCGGTCCCTTGAGGCCTTGAACAGGGAACCCTTTTGCTGTGGTGTACAATGAGGATACACGAGAACAAGATTAATATTAAAGAAACAAAACTACAAACTGTATGAAAATTCAACCGTCAAGGCTCACACTCCAACAAGGTAGTCAAAAATATTGACTATTAGGAGGTCTTTGAGATAAATGTGAAAAATGTGAGTTTTTTTATTCAAATACAAATTTTAATAACACATTTTACAAACTTTTATGTAAACAAATGCAAAGGTTGAGGGGATAAAACATATGTGGGAGAAAAGAATAGTATATCATTAAGCTGATTCTGAATTTATATATATATATATATATATGTATGTTAACGGTACAGGTCATCCTGTACCGTGAAACCTATCATTATCTCTAAAATATTCCTGGCAGTACTTGCTGACCACTTGGAGGGTACATCATATTACTGAAGAACAGATTCAGTTGGACTTTCAGCTTGTCAGTCTGCAAACTCAACCATGCCTTCATCAACAAACCTTGACTGGAAGGCCAGAGATTTACACAGACATTGTTAACACATTGCACTATCTCAGAAACATGCACATTCAAGGAAGAAGGCCTTATAAATATTGTCAAGTACCAACAATGGAAGAGAACAGGATGGAATTTTCCATCCAAAACCATTCCAGGTTCAGGGGCTCTGCATGGGCCATAAACAGGTCAAGTCTGAGGTAGCTAGCCCCCAAGGTCTGCTTTCGAAAGTGCTTGTGTTTGTCAACCAAAGAGAGGGGGGACCAGTGGAAAATTACCAGTCGCTCTTGCACACGCACACACAAATGATCGGAACCAGCAGAGAGACTAACCTGTAGCTACATATCTATCTCACTCAATGGTTATGTGACAGCTTGCGTTTTTAATGGGCATGGGTGCGGGGGGCATGGTTGTGTTGTCAGGACGCAGCAGCCCGCAAGCTACCCAACCAATGACATCTGATGATGTGTGTTCACATCCATGCACATTTCCAAGAAATTACCTGTGACATGATAGTTCTCAGCTTTGAATTAGCAGCATGCACGTGTGTATGCATGTTTGCATTTTCAGTAAATCTTTAAAATGAGATCTACATATGCCTGAATGTTACATTCTTAATTGGCTTTGGGATGTAAGAGGTGAGTACTGCACATGTCTATCACAGCTACATTAATCTGTGTAATCCACACACATGCACAGGATTGGATTGAATGTTTTCTCGTGCAATGAGACTAATGCCTTTTTCCAGGAATTCCATGAGTATCTGCAGCCGTTTACATTTAAGACCACTAAAATAACCAGGGTATGCAAACAGGGAAAAATGCCAAAGTCTCATGCAAAACATTGCATTTTTACAAAGAAAAAGGAAGATCCAAAAAGTGAATTACCTGAGTTCCAAGACAACCCACCATCATATGGGTGAGCAGTTTGGCAGCAAACATGGGGAAACGGGAGCACAGCACATGAGAAATGATGGCCAACGCAAACCCTAAGAAAGGCGAAAAGGACAACATTGGACCAGTGCTAAGGATACATAATATGATTTATTTAAATCAAAGTTTTATTTAATAAGAGGAACAACATGGAAAATCAAACTTAAATGTACCGGGTAAAAACTCAAAGAGCAATCAGGGCAAACACAAATATGCAAGTTAGGGCAGGAAATATGTTTTGTGTACCTGAGATGCAGATAAATCCTGAGGTGTAGAAAGCCTCATTGTAGGATGCAAGCATGACAAACTCAGCATGGGCTGCATATATAGACAAGTGGGAGCATGCACACTCCACATAATTCCCACTCTCTTTCACAACTCTGCAGTACTGACTATCCGATGACCAGCTAGAGTAGAAGGAAGCACAAGATATGACAAAATGAGATTAGAAATCAAGGAAATAATACAAACAATCCAAATCTGCCTGAAACAGAGATTAGGAATTTAATGAACTTGAAAAAATAATATCTTCAACAAATTTTACGAAGATCCCACAACATTTGTTATAAACCATCTCCTAGTATGTTGAAGAAAATCTAAGAAGGTAATGTATAGTATGTTGATAGACAGCAAAGCATGCATGTCCCCACCAACAGCCTTATTTATAATCAGTGTTGGGTAAGTTACTTTAAAAATGTAATCCGTTACAGTTACAAGTTACCTTGTTTAAAATGTAATTGTAGTGTAACTTTTTCGATTACTTTTAAAAAGTAATGTAACTAATTACTTTTTGTTACTTTTTGATTACTTTAAGGTTTTAATGAGTATTAACCCATGATTAATTTTAGCATGTTATTATTAGCTATTGGCCGCAGCTAGCAGTTCAAGGCTAACGTCTTGTTAATGATCATAAACAACGTAAATAAATACATAAATAAATCTGAGACAAGGGGCGCAGTCTAAGCTAGGCTAGGTCATAGACATCGATAAACGTTTGTCATGCATCAACACCAAACAGTCAAATATTAGTAAATCAATACGCTTCGTCTATCAGTGAGTTGCATATTTTGCAAAGGTTTTTCTTTATATTTTAAAAAAAATTTAACTAAATTTGTAATTCTTAATATTTTCGGAAGTAACTGTAACTGAATTACATATTTTCTCACTGTAACTGTAACGAATTACAGTTACTCTTTTTTTGTAATTAAATTACGTAACGTCGTTACATGTAATCCGTTACTCCCCAACACTGTTTATAATGTATTGGAACAACTGGCTAAATTAACAGACCCTAACTTTACCACTTTCTCCACCTTTTGCTCTGTCTCTGTTTCTGTTGTATAATAAGCTTCTTTCTCTATGATTTACCATGAAAGTAATTGTTCTTGCCAAGGCAAACCTGCCAATATTTAACTTGGGATGCCCTCAGCAAAACAGAATCTAAGTGGTAGGATGCAGAGTGCAGAAGACTGAATCTCCAGATGTGAAAGAGAAGGAAATAATATCCCTCATTGTCACAGAGAGGCCTTTCTAGGAGGCCGTTCATGGACTTCTGCCCTTCGGTTTCCATAATGTTCTTACTTATCAAGTTAAGTATGCGTACAAAAAAGATAATAGGATGGAGTACAGCTTTTGCCCATTGATATTTATAAAGTGACAGAAGATTTGTTTTTGAAAAATAAGATATTAAGCAAAAATATCTAGTGCATCTTTACTGCAGTACCTTCCAGTGGTCAGGTTCCAAAGAAGGCACACAGACTCTCCTGGCTTAATCTGCTGACCAGGGGAATGGATTCGATATACCACCTCACTGCCATCCTCCAGGGGTCGTGACCCCCTGTCCCGGAGGCTGGTCGAGAATACCTACATAAAGCAAACAGACACAAAAAAATAGAGGAGAGTTCACTTGCCCAGCCACTGAAAAACGACTGCTGTATCTCAAAGCAACACTGCCACCTGCTGTGGGCAAAGAGACAAACGCTCTTCGACTGGACTAAAACCACACCAACCTTCCCACTGACAGCTGTGAATATGTCATTCGTGAGAAACCAGTGCTCCGTTCTAAATTCGGTCATCTGAATCCTGCTGAGGTTGCCACAGACTTCTGTGGGGACTGCTGGCACTGGTAGCAGTGTATCTGGAAGCTGGAAGAAGTCTCCATTTTGGCCCCTGAATTTGTGTCCATTAATTTGTGTGGGGTACCACTGGAAGGCTGACATGGTCATATATGGGCATGTCTCCAGGATGAACCCCATTCTAGAGAAATACAAAAAAGGTGAAAATGTTTTTAACATCCAGCTTTGCACAACTTCAATTTGGGATAGTGTTTATCTCCATTCAAATGCTGTTACTCACATCTCACACTGGCTGTGTGTGAGCAGGGAAAATGCAAACCGCTCTGCTACTTCAGCAAGGTGGACGAGGCCTCGGGTGTCAACTCGGGTGGGATTTGCCAGAGAGCACAACAGGTTGTAGGTCAAATTCCTGCTGCTGCTCTGTAAAGGAATCTGCTCTGCCTCTGTGAGCACCTGGCTCAGGGAAAAGGAGAAGGTTTGAGAGACTGACAAACAGTAGAGTATAAATGTTTATATAATATATCTCACTTCTAAGTCACTACCTATTGTTACTACATGCCTGCAGGGCCTCCTTGAGTTATTTTATCCTTCTTGGTTTATATCGTATAGTCCCACATAACCAAAAGCTACTCAATATAGAGGCTGCCAAATCTCGACAGCTTATGGAAGGTGCAATATTTGTTTATATCTTTCTGACATTCTACATTCTATATTTTTCAAAGGTTCTTGTATTTAACCTTGCCTTTAACCGTACCTTATCCAGAGCTTCAAGCACAGCAGTCATCTGCTCACGTGTGAGAGGTGGAACAACCTTATTCTTAAGTCCTTGCAGCATCCGATCTAATATAGTTGAGTCAAGAGGCTGATGCAGCTGGTCCAATAAGGCCCACACAGATTCACTTGCTGCATTTGATACCAGAGTCACATTAGCGAGTCCAAACTGGGAGTGCACACTGGCTCCCCCTGTGGGACTGTGGAGCTCCACCTGGAAGCGTTTTGGCGTGGGTGAGGATGAGGCCAGATCAGGTGTCAGGAATATGTCTAGTGACGTGACCTGGCGCCCAACATCAAAGATTACTTGGCCCTCTTGTTTAGGGAAGTCCATCCCTTCTTTTGCGTCCCAGATCACATAGGGACCCACCATCTCAGGCCTTGGAAGCTCCTAAAGGAAAATTAAACATGTTTTCAGGTGAACTCAGTTCAAAGCTGCAATTTGATAAAGCGTTGTTTTGATAAAAGTTCTTCCAAAGGCACATGTTTCATTTGTTGTGCAGGGTTGACGTGGTCCACATTAAAGGTGTGCCACATAAAAGAATAACCATGTGAGGATGAAGCTTTGATTATACAGAAAACCTACATCTTTAGAAAGATGAAAGCAGATGACCTGGTCATGTGTCTCTGTGAGGTTTTTAGTTTTTTTGAGTGCACTAGACGCTCTGATACTTTCATGCCCAGAATCAAAAAGAGTCACTGGATATTGTGTGCTCCTCATTAGCTCTCAGAGACACAGAGCATTGCAATTCGATTATAGAAGACAGAAGGAAAGGAAACTTTGCTCACCTTTAACTGCACACTTATAAAAACAATATTACAACCGATTATCCCAAAAAAGTCTGCTGCACAATCTAAAATAAATACCTGGGTAAAACCTAACTTAAAGCAGCTATTGACTCTTTCATAATGTTGTTACAGTTGTTAATATTTAATTGAAAAAATGTGTTAATGGCCTGAATTATCCCTTTAATCGAGCTGTTTCTTTCTCACCACGGTGCGATATTGCAGAGACATGGGTGTGGCTGTGCTTCCTTGTCTGTAGACCTGCAGACTGAGCTTTGTTGTCATCAGGGTGGCGACAGGCAGTCTATGGCCGACGGGAAAGTACACAACGCCTCGTGGGTTGTCGCTCTCTAGTAAAGTGATGTTGGCATAACGTGTGGTCTCATTAATAGCAGCTCCAGCACCCACTTGATAAATCTCTACCAAGAACCATGCTTGGTACTCTGGTTCCTGCAACAATACAGATGACAAGTGTTTAACTTTATGTAACATTAGCAACATCAGCGTTTTACACTTTTTACAATCTCACCTTGCATGATTAGCCTCAACACATTTCAAGGACAGAAAGATAACAAAATGATGAGTCCTCCCTCTTACCTCATCGTCCTGAACTTCCAGAGTGAGGACACAGACTGTTTCTCCTCTCTTACAGATCACTGTTCCTGAGGTCTGCAAAAGCTGCGTGGCTAAGTCCATTCCATTACTGACAAGACTCGGAGAATCCCTGCTGAATGAAGCTCTCCAGGAGACCTGCAAATCCTCAAAGGCTCTGAACAGATGAAGCGAATAATTACAAACTATAAATAATAATTCTGCCGGCAGCTGATAATAGAATAATTTCCAGAGAAAAGGATTTCATTAGCTTTATATTAAAACCATAAGTTAGAGAATTTTTTACTTTTTTGTTTTATTACCTGTTTTCTTGTCTCTGTAGATAGAGCAGAGCAGTTCTGTTCTCTGAATCCTCATCCAAGAATTGGCCCATCAGAGAGCTCAAACTAAACCCTATAATTCCATTATGGAAATCACTGCCTGCATGAGTCACAAGCAAAAAGAGAACAAAACTCAATATAGATAAAAACAGAATACTAGGAATTTATAATCAAACTTTCAAAGGATTGATAAAACCATATTCTTCACATAGAAACGAGTTCAGAGACTTCCGTGATAAAACAGTGACACAGCACTAAACACAAATGTATTAGGCTATTTCTAATGTTCCTGTTTCCTGCCTCTAAGAACATCTATGCTTCTATAATTGTAAAATGCAGGAAGTGCGGACCAATTATTTCATGTCCAAGATGAATCATTGGGAAGAAGATAAATATGAAAGGGATGAAAAACCAAGCAACAGAGCAGAGCGATAGTCAGAGAGGTGATAGAGAACAGACACTAACATATATCAGAGCTTCAGAAGGCCACTACTCAGGTGGAAAAACCTGCCTAAAGAACCATCATTCAAGAGCACTTATCCATCCATCCATTAGATTTTGTTCTGCTTATCTGAAGTCAGGTCATAAAGAAAATAGATTCAGGAGGGAAGCCCAGACTTCCCTCTCCCCAGCAACCCTCTCCAGCTACTCCTGGGGGAAACCGAGGTGTTCCAAGAAGAGACAGGATTTATAATCCTTCCATCGAGTTCTGGATCTGTCTGGGCATTTCCTGCCAGTAGGGCGTGCCTGGAAAACCTCCATGGGAAGGTGACCAGGAGGCATTCTAACCAGAGGCCCAAACCAGCTAAGCTGCAGTGCAAAAGCATTTCTATTGGGATTGCTGAGCTCCTTGTCCTCATAATCTCTAATGTTGACCCCAGCCACCCTCTGGAGGAAACCAATTTCAATTTTATCCATCTGTCCATCTCCTGCTCCAACCAGCCATAACTCATGAACAAAATACTACTCCTCAAGAACTCATCCCCAACCCAGAAAGAATATTCCCCCATTTTTTGGTTGATTCCACTTAATTAAAGGTAATTAAAGCTTATGGTAAATTATGGTAACTTTCTGGGGAGAACAAAATATCTAGAAAACTGGCACTACAAATGATCTTGCTCAGGACTGCGTTAGAGGTCTGAGAAAAACCTTGAGTAGGCGCAAAGTTACTGCTCACTGATAACTGAATAACTGTCAATGGGTGAAACATTAAAGCTATATTTTTTTTTCTTACCCAGGATAGTGATCTTGACAAAAGCACCAAAGCCCTGGTTTGGACTGTCTGTGATCTGAGCTCCTCCACTCGGATCGCTAAGGTAGATGAAGAACACTTCTGGTCCCTCAGGCTCCGAGTCATCCAGGATGACGAGAATAACTTCCGTCTCATCCTCACCAGCCTCTAGGGACACTACAGTTGACTCCAACCGGAAGTCCTGCTCTTCTTTTGCAAGGGTCCCAGCAATATCCAGAGAAAATGGCGGGGGTATTTCGCTGCCATCTAAGAATAACGACACAATACAGGTTTGAGCAACATTACCCTGAGTATAGGGTTAGGGTGAGGGTAACATGCGAGTTGCAAACAAAAAAACAAGCAAACACACAAACCTCCATATGCTTGGACTCGAACACTCACAGGCCCTGCAACACTGTCTGACCTGCGCACCCTCAGAACGACCCTCTGCTCCTCTTGTGCAGCCTCATCTTGGTCCTCTGGTACCTGGACAAGGCCTGGTCCAATGCTCAGAACTCCCCCAGTGGCATCACTTGCCAGGATTGTGACGGTGGCCAAACGGTGCTCAGGGCTGAGGCGGGGAGGCGTGCTTACCCAGACTGGGTCAGTGGTAAAGACCTGAACATTTGTTAAGTTTACTTGAAAGTACTCATCGGGTTCTGAGAGGGAGTCATCAAGTATTGAAAGACGGAAAGACGTGTTGGTTTGGTGAGGCGAGTCAAAGATTAAACGTCCGTTTGGCACAGGAACAAAGTCTTCCCCTGCTGCTGCAGTGCCATCGACTGTGGCATAGGACACTTGGGTGGTGTTACTACGAGAACCATAAAGTCTCTGAACATAAAGCGTGATAGTTTGGATGTCCTCTGCAATAACGAGCTGGCGAGACTCTTGAGCAAACTGGTAGACACCCAGTGGTTCCACTTCTGCCACAGTAAAGCCTGACCTGGACCGGGAGAGAGATAAGAGGCCTGTGTGAGTAATTCATACTATCCATCCATAATCTTTCCCGCTTATTCTCTACTGGGGTCACGGAGAGAACACGAGCCTATCCCAATGGTCGTAATTCATACTATTGATGACAAATATAATGACTTTACCATGTTTTAAAAACACATTTGAGAAACTACCTCAACTTGACAGCACCACTTGTGGCAGTGCTGGAAGTAGCAGCTGTAAGATGTACAGCATAGGAAGCTGCTTCCAATGCATCAGCAACAGCTGCAAAATGAATGGTGCTGGACTTCTCTCCATGGGGCAGAGTTAGTGAGCCTAAATATAGAGAAGGAAAACATTTTGTCCAAAAAAAGGTTCTTAGCATAATAATCATCATAACCTCATTGACAGTGTGGGAGGCAAACACAAACAACAGTCCACAATAATATGAAGTGTTTGATTGGAGTATTCCAGTGTATGTAACGTGTGAGTGTGTCCATCTTAAACTGAAATTTTGTGCTTTTCTGATCTGATCTGTCTTACCAGAGTTTGGGACTATTTTCCCACTTGGAAGGCCGGGTGGAGCCTGTCCTGAAGGATATCCAGCTTTCCACTGCACATTGATGTCTCCAAATGACCCCGTTCGTGTCACCTTTGCTTCGCATGCCCCCGTTTCTATGCTTAAAACATGCAGAGCCAGTGAAGCAAAGCCAACCTGCCAAACACAAAAGAAGGTGGATTGCAAGAGTTGAATCTTGTCCCCTATATACAGGGCACAGCATTAACATTCTGTAAGTCTGAGAAGGGTGAGTGTTATACATGAATACAATGTAGTACTTCAAATCTTGGGAAATAACTACTTCCACCAACAAGTAGAATGAGTCATATTTATTAAGTTTTACTAGATTAGGATTTTAGAGGGGGTGTTTATAGGTTCAAAACAACCTAATGATTGATGATAACCCTGCAGCAGCTCCACATTTAGGATTTTTTTCGATCAGATTATTGAAAACGCCTACTGTTGTTGAACATATTTATGGTTGCTTGGTTTTGTAAAAACAATTAAGGGATAAGATAAATTCATTTTTGCCCATTTAGGTCATGACTCACTGAGTAATTCAATTTAAATCAATGATTTTCAAATGGACCGTGTGAGCCTTATGAGAGTGCTACCTGCTTCTCACCAAGGACAATAAAAGGAAATGGAAGTTATTCCTGTACCATTATTCAAAGACCAGTGCCACGTTTACCTCAGAGCTGGCAGCTTCCTCGGGTACGGTCACTGTAGCAGTGCTGGCTTCTTGAAGAAGGCGCGGCACGGAGCCTTGGATATCACTGACGAGTCTAACGTCAGTGAGCTCTGCTGTAAAGCTTGACCCAAAGGCCAAAAACACCTACGAACAGAAAAGTGTTTTGAAATAAGTAGATTGAAATAAGTGTCGCAAAACAGTTTGAACTTTGAGTTTTCATGTGCAAATTATTCAGTGACTGCAAAATTCTTCTCAAAAACTATGTGAGTGTCAGGAAGCGTGCTCTCCCTCACCTGGTTGCTAATGGGCACAGTGATTGTATTGAAGGGCTGTCCCTCTCTCAGAAGAAGCCTTCCTTCAGCTTTTCCTCCGAATATCTCATCAATGTCCATCATTTCATCTACACCTCCACTGATCCTGTAACCCACACTAACATTGCCAAACAGGCCGGCAAGACGGGTTACATTCACAACCAGAGCTCTGGTGACTTCGGAGCCAGAGCCCACAATCACCACAGACTGTTGTTCGGGGTTCAGGAAAAACACGCCGTGGGGCTCGTCATTTGCAGGGACCCTAATGAAAAGAGGACAGGATTAAGTTCTATTCAGTTAAATCATTGAATTTTCACCTAAAGTGTTGTGCAGAATTACAGCAACAAACCTGATGGCAGCTCTGATCCGGTTTGGGTCAGCATCTAGACTCGCACCACCCTCTACAGCTGTGAGCTGAACATGGTAAAGCTCCTCAAGCTCTGGCACCGTGTCAGGCATCAAGCTAAGAAGAATCTCTGCCTCCCTTTGGCCTTCCAGTATAATCACGGAACCAGCTAGGGTGAGGAAGTCACCCGTTACATCTGAGTCACTTTGAATCTGCCAGTGGACCTGCAGTCAAAGTATATCACGTTCACAATAGACCCATACCCACACAGAACTAATTCAGTGTCAGCTCGAGTAACTGACATGACTACACAATAATCTTACCTTGATGTTGCCCATGACACCCTCTCTGCGTGTAATCAGAAGAGAAATATTGAGAGGGCCCTCTAATTCTGTGGATTCATTGATGACACGCTCTCTAAGGGCATTGTCAGTGAAGTGGACGATACCGTTTGGGTCACCAAACTTTTCTATCTAAAATTGAAAGATAAATTAAGTCAGCAGCGATAGGTTTGACGTTGACGTCCTCATTTCATGGCTTTGGAACTAATGCCACAATGGCACTGTACCTTCAATGTTACAGAACTGGCCTGAGGATCAACATCCATCTCTCCAGAAAGAATGCTGAGCTCTACAACAAATGTCTCCTCCACTTCCACTTCACCGTGGGGGAGAATCCGCAGTTCTATGGTGCCTATACCCTCCTCTCCATCCCTGAAGAAGAAGGATCCATTCACAGGCGCTCTGATGTCAGTATTAAGCGGAGGAAGGGCCTCCCTACTGTTAGGGCCAAGGATGATCCAAGCAACCTGTCAAAAGGAAAAACTAGTTAATGACATACCAACAGGACAAAGGAAGATCTGGCACAAATGTGCATTATTTTCTATTCTAGTTGTGTTTCTCATACCGTTGCATTTCCCAAAAGGCCTCCTGCTCTCTCCAAAACAAGGCTGAGCTTCAGAGTGGAGTTGGGGTTCGTCACAGTGATCAAACTGTCATTGACAAAACGAACCACCCCACTTGGAGAGTCACTCTTGCCAATTGTTACCCTTGCAACATTGTGGGAGCCTAAAACAGCTCCTCCTGTAGCTCCAACCAGCAGGACCTCAAATGTCTCTGCTTGCTCACTGGGGAACACAATTTCAGTTGTTTAGCTTAGTTATCATTTGAAATTGATAGAGCTTAAGCAGACAATTTGACTGTCACCTGTGGAGATCGTCTATAACAGTGATGTTTATGAAGCTGATATTCTGGCCGTTGACAAACGTCACTGAGCCATTATTCAGGATATAGTCGAGGGCAGGGGTTGCACTCAAGCCCCTTGATATAAAGTCAGCAGAAACCATTCCAAAAGATCCCACTCTCCTCACCACTGGGATCAAGACAGATCCCACATCTTCCTCAACTGAAAAGCAGAGAAGGGAAGGAGAACAGAGATCAGATAAACAGAACACGATATTTCACACGTCTCATGATGTAATGGAGACGTTTGTAAGAGCTGAAGGAAATAGAAGCACTTCACAAAACAAAATGCTTTTTGCTTAGAACCTTACCTGTTAAGTTAATAAAGTCCTGTGAGAACTCCAGGATGCCCTCAACATTGTCATTCTGCAGTATAATCACAACAACAGAGGAGATGTTGCCTAAAGCGGGAGGCTGGTCCAGCTGTAGTCCAGACTCTCTTATTGTGTAGTCCACAGCACTGACCACCAGAGGGAGATACAAGGCAGAGAATAAGGTACAAGAACTCAATTCAGCATATTAAAAAAGAAATGGAAAGATTGCATAAAGGATTATTCAGGACTTTCAATCTTCACTGGGGGCCTGCAATAATTTCTCATGATTAGGTTATTTTTAAACATTCCAGCCAGCATGGTTAACTTTTTTACTGCACCTTCTAAACCTAGTTTTCACCTGGTATTGAGCAGCTCTACGTCAGTGATGTTAAGAAAAAACATCTCAGGCCCCTCTGGAAGACTGTCGTCCTGGATATGCAGCGTGACTTGCTGTGAGCTTTGGCCTGGGCTAAACAGCAGACGTCCTGAAGCTGGAACAAAGTCCAATCCGCTAACAGCTGTGTTTTCTGAGGTCTCATAGGTCACCAACACACTGCCGAAACTTCCAAAGGAGCGATTCACAGTCACATTTAACTGTGGAAAAGAGAGGAAATAACATGGGCTAAATCTGCTAACAACACACACAATTTGCTAATCTGACTAATGGTTAATGGAGTAAATCAATGTATTATCTTCACAAACTCACCAGTGCCCTCTCCTCCGTTGCCCTGAGCTGGAGCTGCATGAAAGAGAAAATGCCATACGGGTTGTCACTAGCTGCCATTGTAATCCTGGCATGCCTAGCTTCTGGACTTATTTCCAGTCCTGCTGTAACTGAGGTGAGCGACAGCTGGTACTCCTTTCTCTCCTCAGGGAGATCATCATCCAGGACCTAACATCATGAAACAAAGAAGTGGAAAACAAAAACAAGGTTTATAGTACATTTTCTTCACCAGCTTTTTGCTTCTACCATAATTCCACTTTTTTTTTCCGCTGACGTCAAAAAACATTGAGCATTACCCTCAGAGTAATGGTAGCCAGTGACTGCCCGTCTCTCATTGTAACAGTACCAGATATTGCTTCAAACTGAGAAACCACAGCTGGAGTTATATTCCAGTACACCTGCACCTCTCCAAACACACCTGGTCCTCGTGCAAAACTGTGGATTAAACAAGTTCACACATTTTTCAATTAACATTGGAGGATAATTAACCAAAGCACAGAAATTCAAAAGTGAAATTTAGTCTTTTGTTTTATTTCCCTCACCTGATCACAGCACTACCATTATAATCTCCTTGAGGTTCTCCAAGAATTATGTTCCTTGATGACTTAGATATTCCAACAATCCCCATGGCGGCTTTGTTGGCTCGAATGGTGACAGTGACCATGTCTACAAAAGACAGAGTGGGGGGGAGACAATGTTAGATAGGTAGGATGAGTGTTCATAAGTAGGAGGATTATTACTGCTTTTGTTTATTCATCTCAATTAGTAGTCTGGTATAATTTATATCTACAAACCATTTAAAGGGTCTATGACAGCCCCACTGTCAGCTGGAAACAATCGTAAAGTGAAATGTTCATCTCCTTCCAAGATATCATCTGCAAGAGCTCTAATCACGAATGACTTCACAGACTCCGTCTGTAAAACAAGGAAATAAGAATGGTAAGGACTTAATGATGAAATCTTCTACTACAACATTCTGTATGAATAATTTACAAGAAATGGGAAAATTGAGAAAAACAATGCTCTACCTCAGTGAAGATTAGAGTTCCATTAATGGGTGAAAGGTCATCTATAGCTTGGCCTTCCAGTTGCCATATGAGTGTCACTGCACCCTCACCTCCAGCACTACGCAACACTGATATTGTGGCCATGGCAACAGGATCATCCACAAACTCAGGTTCACTAATTAAGACCTTTGAGAGAGTCAGATAATGTGAGTATTTTGACTACATGCTGTCTGTCACAAAGACATGTACATGGAAAAGAAGACTGTCATTTTGTCTTCAGAACAGAATTCCTGCTCAGCAGGAAATTAACTTCTATGACATGATCAGTCGACATGTAACATGGAAGCCCTCTCTGTGCATCAGGAGTTACAAATAAGTGAAAAATCACTGGACTGACAAGAAACATATTTCAGATGTACCTCCAGCTCTTTAAATCCAAATCGTCCGAGAGGTGAGTCATTGGGTGGAATGCCAATGGTTGCTGAGGTCACTTGTCCAAGACGAGCACCACCAATCACACGCAGCAAATTCACTCTGAAGGTCTCTAAGGTTTCAACTAGTTCATCATCAATGATGGTGATGGCAATTTTGGCTTCTCTCTAAAACGTTTGTAGAAAAACAAAACCAACACATTTGGGTCTACAGAAAAGCCCAAATTCAGAGCTATACTTGATATTTTGGTTAGTTAAATGTCAGCTCAGAGCAATGAATAATACTTACTTGGCCATCCTGAAAGGTGATGTTTCCTGATATGGGACTGAAGTCACTAAGATCAGCAGTAATTGGCTGAGCCTCCCAGTAAATGACCAGTCTTCCAGTTGATCCAGCAAGTCGCACCACCGACAGATGGAAAATGTTGTCTGGTGGTGGTATCTCATAGGCCAACACACTTTCTGGGATATCCTAGACAGGTATTTAGTAATGTTTAATAGTCATAAAAACATAATAAGAAATTTAATTCCTGAAACATACCTAGTTGTAACATTACTTATAAATACATAATTACATAGAAAATCCTCCCAATCAAAGAGATTTCTAAAGATGTTCATAGATTCCATTAACATTTTATCAGTAGCATATCTGGTGCTCACCTCAGAAACATTTAACTGTAGAACCCCTCTGGGATCATCATTCTCCTGAATAGTAATCTCTGCCACTTCCATACCAGGCCTCTTCACACTGGGCTGCCCAGCTCCTGCAGACCCTCTTACTAGCTCTACTCCGGTTATATTGACCAGGAAACTCTCTGCCAGCTCTGGAATGTCATCCTTATAAAAAAAACAAATGAACATACACAATAAATACTGGAAAAACATAGCAGTGATGGTTGTTACTTTTTTATAAGATGAAAATGAACTCAAAATCCACCCTTACTGGTAAGATTGTGACAGTGACAAGGGCCACGGTTGCACCGTCTACCATGATAATGGTGTCATCTTTGGATAAGTAGTCCTCTCTCGCAGTGGCTTGGTTGGATGGAGGCCGGTACAGAGCTGGCTTGGTCTGGTAATGGATTGCCACCTCACCCGAGGAGCCCTGCTCTCTTACAATGGAAAGAGTCACGTTGATTGGACTCCCTGCAGATTGAAAAAATCACCATTGAGTTGACATAAAAATTTTAAAAGATTTAAAATATGCTAAATAACATATTCAAAATACCAACTGGAATAAAAGAAAATCATCAAGTAATTTTAATCAAATTCTTAAAATCCATACTTTGTGGTTCCTGTGTTAGTGCAAACTGTGAGTCCAGATGCCATCCAACCACACCGTAGGGAGAGCCATTAGGTAATATGGTTAGCAGGGCCTGAGACCGCTCCTTGTCAATGACTGCAGCTTGTCTCAGGTCTTGAATGCCCAGGGTGGTGACATCCAACAGGGTAATTGTGACACTCTCTTTCAGCTCTGGCATACCATCTGCTATGACAGCCATTGAGATGATGGCCAATGTTTGGCCCTCTGAGAAGGTCACCTTTGATTAAACATAAACATATTACATTTATATGCAAATTATGTTACTGTACAGTACTGTACTACAGTTTTCATTTGTAGAAAAACAATTGATGGCAAGCTGTTAAAGCATGCTGTAATATTTACTCAGATTTATAAATACAGCAAAGGTTTCTTACCACTCCTGAAGTGGGATAAATGTCAGCCAGACTACCATTAGCAGCCCAGTGGACAGTCAGCCTGCCAAAACTCCCTCTTTTCCGTTCCACAGACAAAGTAATCTGATTGCTTTGTTCCAACTCTTCCACCTCCATATACAGGGAATTCTGCAAGTATAACATATGATAATCTATTTGCGTATGTACATGCATACATACACACACACACACATACAGTACATATATATATGTATTAAATTCAATAGTTGACCACAGCCTCATTTAGCACTTGATGACCACCTCACAGGTATATCTCCTCACCTGAGCAAATCCAATGATTCCATGGGCATCATCGTTTGTTGGGATATAAACATCCACTTGACCTCCAAATCCAATCTCAGCCCCACCCTTTGGATTCTTCAACCTAACCTGGAAGTTCTCCTCCACCTCAGGGATGTCATCATCTACAATGTTCACGGCTATTTCCAGCTCGCTGTCACCTGGGGCAAAGTGCAACTCCCCAAAACTGAATGTGAGAACATAAAAAAACATATGTCACGTGCTGTTCTGTTTAGATTCTCCAATGAAAAGAGTTCCTTTTTAAAACTGAATATGTATGTCTTTGACTTAGGACACTGGATACCTGGGTATGAAATCAGACTGATTTGAAATGGAGGTTAATTCATAGACAGTGGAACTATCCTCTTTGGTAGAAGCCAGGAGGATCTTTGTGATGTTGAGGGATGGGACCATTAACGAGAGGAAGCTAATGGCTGGAGGGCCCTTTAGGATCAGAGTGAACAGATTGACATCAGACCTCCAGGAGAAGAGCGATGAACCATTTCTTCCAGCTAGCAGGGCAAAAGCTGCAAAAAATAGAAACAACCATATAAGCACTTCGTACCCAAAACTGGATACATATGGCCCATAAAGTAGATATTAAAGTACTTACAGTCAACCCTCTATTAATACAACCAAAACAGTTCATGGCATCTGTACTTACTGATCCCAGAAGGAGCAGTGAAGGAGTGAATAGAAGAGAGACCAGGCTGAGGAATGGACTGATAAAGTTGTGGTGAAGATTCTCCCAAACTCCACTGAAACACCTCACAGGTTGGAGAAAGACCTTGGAAAAAATAAATAAATAAAAAACAGAATAACATTTTTCACGCTACAAATAGCATGTTTATGCAGCCACTTGTCTGACTGACACACCCAAGTATTACAAATTACAAGCTTCGCATCCCTCTGTGGCGCTGTGGTGCACACTGAAGCCTTTCCCATAAACCCACAACAGGTCTGAACCAAAGGCTAACCACTTTTGCAGTCAGAGGGATTATGCCTCTTCAAAATACACAGAGCGTATAAATATATGACCTGGTTTACATAGTAAACTGCGCCTTCTGGTATCAACCAACAAAACAAACATGTTTTTGGAGAAGTCATGAGAAATTAGTTTCTGTTTGGCTTCTAAAGTATCACTAATTTTGTAACATCGAAACAACTGAAGTAACAGTGGTCATCTAAAACTGGTAATTTAACACTGGTGTTAAATTACATCGAAACAGGTTCTATCACCTTCGGTTGCGATCAACAGGAGAGTGTTCTCTGTCCTTGTGGTGATTGCCTCTGCCTGAATGACTCGGCCTGTGAGCAGCAGAGGCCGCGGGTTCTGAAATCTGCTGCCGGTCCACTGAAGCACTTGGCAGCTCACATTCTGCCTGTCAATGCACACCAACAGGTAGGTGGCATCTGCATGAATGAATGGTGTTACGCTCAGAAACCGCTGTCCAAAGTCAAGAGTCTGGTGGAGTGTAAAGGAGCCAGCGGTCCAAACAAAAATCTGGAGAGGAAAAGAAATAAAAGTACATGATCAAAGGTGGAATTCACCCAGTGACGAGCCTCTTATTATCCTGGCATAATCTAAACACTAGTGAAACAATTTGTTTCACCTGGCTTGATGAAATGAGGTAATCTCTGCCTTCGTCCGAGAAGTGTTTCACATCCAGAGCTTCAACACCTAAAGTTTGTTCCTGAAGAGACCAAAATTCAAATCAAATGATTGTACAAGTCAATGCCACAGTGTTACAGGAACCTAAGGCTAATTATTTTCCACAGTTAGGTTTACACTTGCCAGAGTCATATTGAGGTCCTTCTGCAGTTTGAAGATGCTGAGGTTGGCAGCTGGAAAGAAGGGAGGGCCACCATGTGTGATGCCTATGTAGGTAGAACCATTTACTGCAAACCCAACACAGGAGGCTGGGTCCTGGACCCTTACAGACTGCAACAGCAAAAACAAAGAGATGGTAATAAAGACAATGAATTTATTAATAATCCAGTTTTTACTGAATTTAAAAAAAAGTTGTTACATATCATGTAAAGCCTTGTGCAGAATGCTGTTACCTCTATAGGCACAAAAACACCCTGCCACCGATAGAGAGTGGCAAAAGTGTGGGAAGATCCAATCATGGATCTCTTATCCAGCCTCACGGCTAAAAATGGAAGGTTTTCGGGAATGGAGCACCAAGCAGATGTGGGTGTGTCCTCAAAGCTCTGATAAACACCCATGACTGGGAGTGGACCCCCTGTGAAAAAATACGTAATTGAATATCAATGGAAAAAAATAGAAATTTGTGAGATGTCAAAGGTTTTACAGAACCGGAGGGATGTTTGCTGGTCTCACCGTAGGCAGTGGCAGTGGCAGACTGCATCTCCCACTCCACACTAACTGCAGATTCCAGACCATTACTGCGAGAAACAGTGAGGAAGACTGCGCTGCTACCTTCATCAGCAACCATCACTGTGCTGGTTCTATGAAAAAAGAAAAGAAAATCAATAACAGATACAAATACTGTGCGTGCGGCATCACATCTGGCATCTATCTGTAATACTCAATGTTTCAGATCCTTTTGATGCAACTATATTTAGACCTGTTAAGAGTAGGCCCAATGCGGAACAGGCCGGATGGAGCCACATTCTCCAGGACCGTGATGAGAATCTGAAGTTGGTCACCAAGTCGTGCTCCTCCAGTCGGGTCGGACAGGAGTATTGTGAAAGTTTCGTTCCCTTCAGGTTCAGCGTCACGTACTGCCCTGATTTCCAGCATCTGACAACCCAGATGACAAGTAAGAAAGAGGACAAATCAGTAAATACTAGTAAATCACTTGCATGTGCTTGGCAAGATCATTGTAAAATGTCAAGTGAATGAAAACTGGTCCTAATAAGATGTGGTTCAGGAATGGGGGGCATTTTTTAAACCTTGTGCTGAGTTTGAGATCAAAGAAAATGAGGCAGAGTAAAAATAAAAGCCAGGATGTATCTCCTCAATTCAAATAATCAGTATTAACCCGATGACAAGATTTCCAAAAAAATGACTTCTTGCATGAAATGTTCCTGGGCCTGAAATTTGCCCCAAGTTAAGGGTAAATTAATCTTTAACCTCCATCTATTTTGAAACTACATAATGGTCAATAAAAAGATATGTTTTCAGGACAGACTTCTTTTCTAGAACTCTAAAGTTGTAACCTTCCCAAAGCAGAAACAGTCGAATAAAACTAAAACTAATAAGAATTCTTGTCAAATAAAAAGTCTAAAACTAACACAAAAACAGCTGCCCATTGGCATGATACAGCCTGTGTTAAATATATAACCTTATTTAACTTTTGGGACTGGCGAAAAGGACTCTTCAACACTCCATTCATCAGGGTTGCAGCTCTTTCTCTGTAGTTTGTTGAAAGTTCATTTTACCCCGAAGCATTTGGCTCACTTTGCCCGATATCAGATATTTTGAAAAACAATAGCTGGCTTACAAATTTAGACAAATATTTATCTTCATGATTTGATTGGCTTTCCACATTGACAAATCACAATACAGCTGATGTTATTGGAGCTGGATATTTCTGCACTTTTTACACCTGATCAGCAAAAACTTTACCTAGAGGAGTGAAAGCAGGTTTGAAAGAAACATGGTGCTGACAACTCCTCCTACGTACTTATTTTTACAGTCTGACAGAAATAACAGATGCTTCCAAAAGAAACAGACTCATTGGTTAATCATTTCCTTTGACCTCTCTCTCCCCTGCATGTTTCACATTTGTTTCACTGCTGTTTTTGCAGTAAAATCAGCTTTACCTTAAATCTGACTCCATCCTCCAGAACCACAAAACCCTGCGTGGGCATCAGATCTCCCTGAGCTAGGCTGCCGTTGGCATCAGTGATGCTGAACTGAACAGACACGGTGCCAAAGGTGCCCTCCTCAGGGCTCCGGATAACATAAAGGGTGGCCACGCTGTCACTCAGCTCTGACACAGAGGTGGGCTCTCTCAACAGGAAATGTTCGCTGGCATTGAAGGAAATGACACCATGTCCATCATCACTGGTCATGATATTCACAGTTGCTGTATAAACAGAAAAAAGATTAGATGGCAAATGTCGAAATAATGAAGAAAAGGTTTGATACCTTTTTCACTGTAAAACATTCTTTTAATTTAATTCAGTATAATCAAATATTATGCATAATATTTATATCTGTTGGAAAATGCGCTGCCAATCAAAGTATAAACCAAAACTAAATCCTGGTAAAATGTTTACTTCTCATAGAGCTCACTAATATAAAATACATTTTCTGCTTGTTGGCTGTAAATATTCATGATGCTTATGGTAAATGAGCCCTCAACCATGTCAATGATTTATTGAATTTCTAACTCTGACTTAAACACCCACAACTGTAAATTTATGTTGCACGTCTTATCTGAGTCAAAGTTGTATGTTTAAATTAAGCTCTTTAATCTGATCATTTCTATGATAATTACCATTGTATTCAGTCTACCTGTGGTATTGATGCCCAGCTCCAGTCCAGGAGAAGGTTTAGACAGAATAAGCTGGAATCTCTCAGCTCCCTCGGGGATGGCATCATCAATGATCTGCACTTCCACAAATTTATGCCTTTCACCCTCAACAAAATGGAGCACCTGGGTCGACAGAAAAAAAAAAAAAGAATCATCCTGATTTATCTTTCTTAAAAAGTGTAGACTACATATTGCCGTCTACACTTTTCTTCACAAAGAAACACCTAAAAGCTCAAATTATACTTCCTTAAAATATCTGCTCCATGAACTCTATGTCCTCACTTTTTGTAGTTGTGCAGGAGAAAACACTGTATGTCAATTTTTGTTTTTGAAAGAACTTCAACTGGTCTGCATTAACTGCATATTATATGAAAAATCTAAATCGCAATCTTCCAATTAACACAATATGACTAAGATGTGAGATCAAAATCAGCTCTTAAGTCTAGGATATAGAACATAAACTTAACAACTAGTAGAGCATTATTGGCATATATTTCTTTAGTGAAGTGAAATGTGGAATTACATCTATTTTTATAGGTTATATGGTTTTATCTTACAGCAAATTATGGATCATCTGCAGTAACATTTAAGCAGAAATACGAAGGGAGAAGGCTGGGTAAACATTTTCCCACGAGGACAGAGCTATTGAATGACATATTTTCAGATTTAGGAAGGCAAAAATAAAATGTCAGAGTGTCTCTTTTTTGACCCGAGAGACCCAAGTACATGCGCAGTGACAGTGAACAATGGTATGAGTTTTCACTTTGTGTTTCTATTAAAGGGCAGCTGGGCCAACTTCAGACCCCAAAAGAGTTATCAGTTTTTGCCCAACAGACTCCACAACTAAATACAAAATTTAATATGCCTTTCTTGATTAATTGTTTGTGCCCAACCGTTTCACTGATATTGTAGTCCAGCCCCTGTTGAGCTTCCAAGTTCTGAGCAAAGAAGAGAAGAGAGACATTCCCATATGTCCCCTTGTTCCTGTAGGCCACAAGAGTCAACAATCCGATTGTTTCATTCACTTCATACCTGCAAATCAGAGCACAAATGGAATAAACATTTCTTAAATCGCCACATGAAGAAATTATCAATTGAAATGTTTTAAAGGACGTTTTCCTTACATGGTGTTAGTCCATTCGATGACCCCTCTAATTCCATCATTAGCAGCAATGCTCACTTCTGAAACTAAACCCTGGGTGTCTGGTGAACAGAACATTTATAATGAATTTTATGGGTCTCAGACATCTATAATAAATTAAGTAAGCAGCAACACCTCAGCCTGTAACAAGCAAGCAATTAGAACAAGTTTGCACATGGGGAAACTGCAGGGGATCTATCTTCTGTCATGGCACATTTGAGCAATGGATTACAACAAGGAGGCATCTCCTGCAAGAGGTTTGGAAGGCTGAGCAGCCAAGTCTTTTGGGTGGACGGATTTATGACCTCCTGAATAGTGTTCGTTCATTGACTCTGTGGCCAAGACACTGGGAGGCCAGAGACGGGTTTAGTTTGGCTTTCTCTCCCCTCACCACACAGGGCTACTCGCTGCCACCAAATCCCCTGGCTTCCTCAGCCACAGAAAGCATCCAAGCCACATAAAGACGGCTGCCAAAGCGCAGCCATGCGTTTATCATATGTTTCCAGGCATGGGTTGATAGTATTCTGGGAACCGCCAAATGCCACTGCGTGTATTATTCTGTCAACTCATCACTTTCTAAAGTTACTCATTCATAAATTGGACTGTGGTTTGGATTCTACAGAATATAGAAATATTGCAACTACAGGCTCATTCATGGAGCCTTTTGACGGTCAAAAGCATTGTAGGTTATAGTACCATAAAGAAGCATCATGTATGGAACTATTAGCATTTTAGGCATTGCTTGAGCTGAACATGCATATTACCTGGCAAAGTGCAATACACAACTTCTGCTTTCAGAATAGAGGAAATGGCAAGAGGTTTAAAAAGAGAACAGCGAACAGCGGAAGGGATTTTATACCATTACATAAGATCAACAAATAGTGCAAAGGTCTGAAGAAATTATGGAAACTTATCAACAACACAAAAGATAAAAGGTGTAAAGACTATCCAAACCTAATTGTGGAACGGCAGCAAGCGTTGTGATGAGCACTGCAGATGTTATGTTGACCAGGAAGAACTCCTGCAACTCCGGAATGTCATCCTGTATAAATGAAAAGCTTTACGTTATATAGTCATACACATCAGCTTAAATTGAGAACTTATCCTGAAAATGATTTTATACACATTTTGCATCTGAAGATTCTTTATTTGCCATTTGTACACATACACTTGGTCTGGATATATCTGAATTTGGAAAGAATGAAAAAAGGGTGGGGCTTAAACTAAAAACTGAAATATGAAAGTACTAATAAATAATACAGTGACAATAAGAAGTAGGTAACCAAAAAAAGACTAATTTAAATGCTTACATTGCACTGACTGATATAAATGCACCTGACTAATGATGGTCTCCACATCATGTTTGTCTTATTCAAAGAAACAAATAGTGTAAAACCACAAATGCTTTAATGTTTAAGTGTCATGAGAAAGCTAAAGAAGATGAAGCAGAACAGAAGGATTCATTATGTCACAACTGTGGATTAAACGCCATTCTGTTTAGTTTACAAGAAGCAAGAAGACAGCTAATGTTTACCTCCAGTATAGTCACTGGAATGGCAACTGAAGTTTGTCCATCCTGAAGGATGACAGAACCAGTGCCAGTGATGAAGTCTTGTCCCGGTTCAGCCAGAGCCCCTTCCACCTCAGACACGTTCTGCACTGAACCTCTTATAACCTCATATGAAATATTGACAATTCCTGCAGGCAAAACACATAAGTCAGTTACACAGTAAAAGATCACAAAGCTGAAATGAAAATAGAAAAAATGTAATCAAAGGGGACCCCAGTATTAATTATTATGTATTTGCTGTACTCATGCTTGGCCTACAGACCTGAGGAACCAAACTCTCTGTTGATGTAGATATTTATAACTTGATCCCGCTCCTCTGTGGTCACCCTAACAGATGACGGCGCAATAGTCAGCAGCCCATAAGGCTCATCACTCATGTCCACAGTGAGCACTGCTTCAGTGCCCTGAACGTCCAGTGCAGCATGGCCTGTGACCGCAACACCTGAGTGGAAGTGAGAGGGGTATTAAGGGCTTGTGAGGAAGGTTATTAGCAGTTAAAGCTTCTTTGCATGGGTCTCACGCACAAATAATGACTAAATAGATATGAAATGTTTTAATACCAAAGGTTTGTATGTTGGACAATGAAACTCTGTATTCATCTTTGTCTTCTGGTGTGGCATCATCCAGAAGCTGCAGTTCTATGGTGTCATTTAGTTCTCCCTGTAGGCAAAACACAATTCAGTTATGTAATTGCACATGTAACTCTGACACTTTAATCTGGTCGAATTCATTTCGATCTGTAGCTTTATGTGCAATGCTCTCAAACAATCTGATTACACAGTAAATTGGGGGACAATTGGTTATTTACCTCAGAGAAGAAAAGTGTCCCTGAGGTTTGAGTGAAGGACCGGTGTGAAAGGGGTCCTTGCACAGTCCAGTCCACAGTAACATTACCCAAACCTGGAGCTGTTCTCAAAACTGTCAGGGACACACTTTCACCTGTAACATAAAATACAATATGTTTAGTCCAAACATTTGAAAAGTCACAAGTAATTTGAACAATTAATAATTTATTCATAATGATAATGATGGTAATGATTTTTACCATCCAAGTAAATTACAATGTTATGTGACATTTTTAGATAATAGGATGTTTCTATTTACCTCTAATGCTAATTGCTTGTTTTTAATCTAGTCAATTCCAGTAGGAGCAATTTAGGATAATTATTTGGAGCCTTCAACAACTCATGCATATATAATTTAATGAGAATGACAACCACAGAGCCCACCTGTTGCCGCATCCTTTCATTACCATCAGTACTTACATGTGCTTTCACATTCATGCATAATTAGGACCTGTCTCCAGTGACGGGAAGCTTTTGTTACAGACATTACAACTCCAATTTGAGAGCTGCTGTGTTTCATGGGAAATACAAATATGATGGACATAGATGGGCAAAAAGATTTGATTTCTTACGGTGCCTTGCTAATAAAACCTGAACATGCCACAATTTCAGAAAAAATAATGAATAACTCAGAAACTAATAATATTATAATGTGATGCTGACAAAAGGCCGAGCTATGGATAGCATACATAATAGAGCTACAGCAAATGCAGCTAAACTACCCACCTTCTCTTGCAATGACCGAACGAGAGGCTGGATGAAATCCTACTATTCCTGCCACATTATCGTTGGCCAGTATTATTATGGTTACAGTGTCTGAGCTGGGTAGAATTCGACTTCCTCCTGCTGTGTTAACAAGACCAATCATGAGGCTTTCATTGTCCTCTGGCTCAGCATCATCCCTGATAGCAATCATTATGGTCTTCTTAAGTTCACCTATGAGCAGAGAAAGTGCAAACAACACTGATTATACCCAAAACATTTTTTTTCTGTTAAATATTAAGGTCCCTAAAACATAATAAAGGAATTTCCCAGATATTTAAAGAGAACAAACCATCAAACACTAAAGTTCCTCCAGTCCCAGTGAAGTCAGCGTCTGGTATGGCCTTTCCTCCAACAAATCTCCACTCTACAGTGACGGTGCCTAGATTTCCTCCTCTTCTCTCTATCACAAGTGGCACCACAACTGTAGGCTCTTCACGAACTTCGAGGTAGAGGCCCTCATCGGTGGCGTTGGGACTGAGGCTGTAGATCAAAAATATGCCAAATGCATCTCCATTCACCCCTATTGTTACTGTAGCTTTGTCCGGTTGGCCAACTGAGGGGAGGTCCTTTTGTGGCACAGTCAAATTTACCAGCTCTACCTTCAGACAGCAGAGGACAACACATTTATACATTACACAGCTTCGTAAAGCTCAGACATCTACAATAAAATGTATGCAATAAAATGTAAAACGTGTATGAAACAGAGAGGCATAGTGATGGTGATTGGAACCTACCTTTAATATCTGTATAGAGAAGCTTTCATCCATTTCAGGGAATTTGTCTGTTAAAATTAGGACTGTGAGGTTAGACACCCCTGATCTATCATCCATGAAGGCACTCTGAGCAATCACAGGAGTGTAATCACTTCCTGCCTCCGCCTGGGCGCTGAACAAGACAGCGGCTGCGGTGACATTCTTCACATATGTAAAAACTTGAGATTTAGAGGTCAGCTGGTCAGCTCCTGACGTCACCCAGGAGCAGGATGGCTCTGTCATGCTTGATGACAAAGAGAAGGCCTGGCATGCACGCTCTCTTAAACAAGCAGCAGCGCACACAGCCATAGGGTCTTTTTGACCAGTAATATTAACTCCCATCTGAGGGGCAGAAGTAGGAACACCCAGCTTTGGGGGGTTGTAGTACATTAATAGGTTCTGATTATCACTTTGAGCCAAGCCAACAACGTCTATCTCAGAGGTGCTGTATGTGATTTCCAGTCGGCCAAAGTTTCCACCTCTGAAATAAATTAAATTGGGGAAAAAAGAAAGCAGGAAAGTGAGACTGTAATGTGGATAGGTTTACTAAAAGACTGTGTAAAAAGTAGAAATATTAGAAGTAGTACCTGCGGCGGACAGAGATATTAGCACTGTAAGTTCCCTCCAGTGGCTCCTGAACACGATAAACAGACTGTTCAAAGTAAACTGTCCCATACGGGTTGTCATTGGCAGGCACTATTATGTTAACAGATGTATCAGCTCCCAAGCTTCCTCCATTAGTGGCACCAGTCAGTTCCACTTTAATGATCTAGGAAACAGAGAAAGAATTGAACAAACATTCAAACTAAAGATAACTGGTTATGGACGTGTTCACAAAAACGTTTTTGCACCCCTAGTTTCTAACCTCAGTTATTTCAGGTACATCATCAGCTAAAATCTCCACTTTCAGTGTCTTCATGGTTTCTCCGGGAGCAAATGTAACTTCTCCTGATGTGGGCCTGATATCTCCTTCAGCGATTTTACCGTTTACGGTGGCCCTCCATTGAACTGCCACTGTGCCTATGGTACCAGCATTGCGCACAATTGGCAACGTGACTTCCACAGAGTTGGAGCCAGGTTCTTCCACTGTAACTGGGAGAGCCTGGAAGACTTGATAGATATGAGAGGAATAGAAAAAATAACTAATAAATGAGTAACAGTCAGAAATGTCAAAGAAAGTTGAAAGAATCTGGAGAATTCCAACTAACCAAAGGCACCAAAAGGGTCATCAGAAGGCAGTATGGTGATGATGGCACGTGTGAGCTCTCCCAGGAGAGCTCCTCCAGTTGTTTGGTTGATCAGCTCGATGAGGAAAGTCTCCTCCAGCTCAGGGACAACATCATTGATAACATATATGGGCACAGACTTACTGGACTCCCCTTCTAAGAGAACCACGTCCGTCGAGGCTACACTGTAGTCTTCACCTACAAGACGGCACACGGACAGGTCGTGTCACAAACAAAGGCTGAGGAGCACATCTGAAATCATGCACCATTTTCCAGGCACTTACTGACTCTGGCAGTCAAAGGCACGGCTCTGAACTTCACAGAAACGTCAGCAAAAATCCCCCCAACACGTGTAACGTTTATTATGGGTCCAACATAGTGTTCTGCCACACTGACAGCAGACGCTGACAGCTGAAGGACTCCGAAGGCATCGTCGCTGGCCTCCAATATCACCTGGGCAACTATTTCAGCGCTCGAGCCCAGAGAAGGGGAATTCATGACTGAAAAAATCAAGGGAACATTTATAAGTCTTGATGTCATGATGTTATTCAACCAACTTGGTTCCAGTCAGAGGGCGTGTCTAACTTACTGAGCCTGTCCTGCTCCCCCTGGATGAGCTGAACGCTGAGCAGCTTCACAAACACAGACTCATCTCTCTCTGGGTCGTCGTCATCTAACACACGAATGGTTATATTTGCTTCACTCTGATTGGCCATGAACACAACAGAATCGAGTAGGGAGATAAAATCCCGCCCTTCGGTGGCTCGGCCCACTCCGGGGGTTCTGTAGGGCTGCGGGTCAGCCTCGTTCAGTGTCCTGTATGTGACTTGCACCTACATGCATTTACACACACACACACACGCACACAAAACAAACAAAAAAAACAACAACATTTAATACATCTACCACATGTGGGCATCTTTCAAACTATCTAGTCAACATAGCTAAATTAATCAAAGCAGCTTGAATATCGGACCCATACCTGACCCATTAAGCCTCTCTGTCGCAGGATGGTGAGTGACACAGTTGCATCGGCTTCAGGAAGTCGAACAGACCGCGTTGCATTTGCAAACACAAAGACACCATAAGGATCATCACTGGCGAGAACAGTCAGAGTAGCTGAGCTGTTGACGCCCAGGCGACCATGTGACACATTAATCAGGGAAACAGTGAAGCTCTTGTCCAATTCAGGAATGTTATCTTGGGCTACACCGATGATGACGTTCTCTGATGTCTGCCCTACGCCGAAGGTGATATTCCCAAATCTGCTGAGGAGCTCTCCCTCTGCGCTGGAATCAGCTTCCCAGTACACAGTGACATTGGAGAGGTCACCAAAGGAACGATCCACCTGATGCGGAACCAAAGCGTACTTAGCACAGTCATCAACAATAACCAGTTTCTACCCATTTTCACTACTGTAAAAATGTGATATAAGATAAGTATGCCACTGACTTGCAGGACCACAGTGTTATGTCCATCTTCAGGTTCTGTCCCATTAACAAACAGAGATTGAGGACTGAACTGAAACACTCCATGGGCATCATCAGATGCAGCAATGGTGACTGTGATGCGTGATGCAATTCCCAGGGTGGCTGCACATACAGTTTCAAATATGGGTCACTATTAAATTATTTAATCGATTGCATTTCATCAAGATTTGTTGTGAAGGAAATGAAAAGTACTCATAGGTCGGAGAGGAGGGAATAAAAATATGAGTCTGTTTTATTTAGAAAAGTAGTTTAACAGTACAAATTAAAATGTCTAATCATTTTGAAACGTTTCTGTCCTCAGCCTTTTTTAAAGTAATGACACAACAGAAGCTGACTGACTTTTAAGAGGAAGGTCACTAAACACTGTGCTCTGTTAAAAGCAGGGCAGGGCATTAAATGGTTAATAGTAATTAAACTGGTGTCTGGGTGAATTCCAATGGCAGACTCAAAATAACTGGCAGCAAACTGAACTCTGAGTAAAATACTAGGATATCTGACAGTTGATTTGATGAGCTTCCCCTATTCAGTCCAGTCTGAGGCTGTTTGCTTTTCCCATGCCAACCCCCTTGAGTACTTTTCACTGGGTTCACAGTACAATGTAAATGTCACACACAAAAAAAAGCACATACACACAATCATATGTCTGGATGACTGTGTATATGCACCGAAGGCCAATTGCAGGGATGTAGGAAGGAAGAAAAGCTGCAGGTCTAGGAAAAAAGGAGGGTCGTACTTACCATGGTGGTGATAGGATGGAGGGAGGAAGTCATAGTCACTCTCCCCACTACCACTCTCTTCACCATGCAGAAAATGATCCACTGATACATCACACATTAGGATCACAGGGGTGTCACACCAGGATAAAATCAAACCAGAAGAAGAGATTTTGAAGGGCAAGTGGGATATTGTTGTAGGATGACATGCATGTAGGAATAAGGAAACAAACTGGGGCACCACACACAAAACAACATAACAACAATTATGCAAAAGACTTTGTCTGACTTGGTCAGCTATAGGTCAAATCTAAATAGGTCAAATCTAAAAGAGAGAGTTCCACTAACAAAGCACTAAATTAAAAGACAATTCAAGTGTGGGTACATACTGTATGTGGCACTAATATTATGAGGATATGCAATTACTGTAAAACAGTATACCAACATAGTTTAAACTCTAACTCACCTCCACCATCCGCATTGAAAAGCTCCACTCTAAAAATCTTATCCAGCTCAGGAACAGCATTATCTACAATGGTGATATTGATGAACTTCAATTTCTCCCCAGGAAAAAAGTCCAGCATGCCCTCTGCTTCCTGACAGTCGAATAAAGAGAAAGAAAAGGAATCCACAGTGAGTGCTCAAAGTATATTTGGCAGACATCAGATATCAGTGTGAACTAACTTCATAGTCCTCAGGGCTGGATGCTGTGAAGGGGGTTGTCCTGTATCCAACCATGATCCTTCCCAAAAGGCCTTGAGCCCTGACAACAGGCAGACTGATCTGTCCATCTTCCTCATTAACGGTAACGTAGGCAGGTTCTAAAGCTGGAGAGATAAAACCTTCTTCTGGAGAGCTGAACTGAAACTCTAGCAGGCCTGCATCAAGAACGAATATGTGTGTTAATGATAGAACAGAACAGAAAACGTTTGGCACTTTTCAGAAAAAGCAAGTAATAATTGCAAACAGAGTATCAATGAGAGTACAATGGTGTTTTTGGGGAGGAAATACCATAGGGATGGTCACTAGCTCTGATAGTGACAGTGTTAACCGAGTTATCGGGGTCGATGCTCGCTCCGCTGGTGGGGGTGGATCCTGGCTTCCCATCCCCAGATTCTGCTGACACCAGTGTGACTTGAAAAGACTCAGCAAGCTCTGGGAGATTATCATCAAACACCAACAGGTTCAGAACCTGATGGGGAGAATTGGAAAGCATTAGCTAGGGTTTTTAGTCCATGCTGTATCTTTGAGAAATAGTCTAAAAGTCTGGCCTCTGATGCTGGATAAAGGATAGCTTGTGCCATCACAGTTTGTTTTTACACAAATGTTTTTGTTATTCATGGTGACTGCTGCAGCCTGTAGAACTGAGTTTCACCAGTTGTGTTACCAATAAACCCACCACGAGGGGGGGCTGTTCATCAAGAAACAGTGTAACGATCTGACTGTAAGCCCGTAGTGTTGAGGAATTGTACTCAAAATGTTTTTTTTCCTTCTCTTTTTAATAGCACATACATCTTTCTGGTCACATGTTTGCGCAGACAATATGTTTTGTCCCCCAATAAGAGGGGCTTTCCCCAGACCCGAATAAGATGCCGCCTCACACAGAGAAACTCACAGAAAGGTACGCACCTCAGATCGCTGTCCAGGCATGAAAACCACAGCTCCAGTTGCATTAACAAAATCTTGATGAGCTGGGTTGTCACTGTCTGAGCTGTCCAGCTGGGTAACGGTGTAATTTACAAAAACATCATCCAGGGATCCCCGTGTACGCTCAATCACACAAGAGATAGTGGAACCCTCATCAGCAGTCTGTTAAAAACAAAGTAAAAGCAAAAGTGTTTTTAAAAAAGTATTAAAAGAGAGGGTATTGTTACTTTCTGCAGTTTGTTCAAATTTGGAAAAAAACTACTTAAATGTGGGGACAAAACATTTTATAGCCCACAAGCTTCTATGTTTTTTCCGGGATCCTCAGGTTCTGATGGAATGCCATACACAGCTCTGCCATCTGCCATGCTCATAGAAACACGGAGCAAGATCTCTTATTTCCTGTGATGGAACTCCAGATCCGCTTCCATAGGAATGCCCCCACAGACAGACCTGCTGCTGCCTCACCAGCTGTTGCTCTACCTGAGATGGCCCAGCATGAGACCCCACTCACCAAGATAAACACGCTCCAACTGCAGCGAAGCATGGAGGCTGATAAAATATGCAGCAGGACAGGGATCGGCTAAGCACTGGGCTGCATTAGATGTGTTTCTATGCATATCTTTTAGACAGTGAGATACTGAGTGATACACAAATGGTAACACAATTGTCACGGTCACATTGGTCCGAAATAAAAAAAATGTGTTGCTTCTCAGACTTAACATTAAAAATAATTTCAAAGTCAGAGGTTTTCCACATGATCTGCTTTATAATCATATTTTCACTGGTTGGAGTTGATATTTCCTATTATATCAGTGGCCTCTCAGATGCTTTACAAACTAAGCACCCCACATTTAACATAAAGAACAGGCAATAACTATAAATTCACAGCCCTTTACATACAAACCTTTATAGTGATTGGACAGTCGGGGGGACCATGGCATGTGGTTTAAGTATTCTAAGCAGACCTGCAAGACACCATTGTGCACTGATGCCTTGCCTATTCTAAAATTAAGATGGTTTTAAATCACTTGCAGACTTTATGAAGGCAACCTGAAGAAAGCAATTTCCCACTAGGAAGATACAAAATGAATCTGAGATGTTGACAAGCAAAGCACTCTGACTTGGTGTATTTTTCCATCACTGTATCTGAAAGAAACCAGTCACAAACTCTCAAAATATCAGCACAATTCAGTTTATGGCCTCCAGCATGGCAGCATCTTAGCTTACGATAAAGGGGCAAAGGGTTTAGTTCATTGATAGAGAAAACACATAAAATATAAAGAAATCTTGAGTGAAAACCTTTGGGAGGAAAGTTTTCTTTTTAACAAGATACCAGCATTACACCAGCAAGTGTGTAATTGAGCCCATGCCTCTATACTTCTGTCGTTTGTTGTTTTTTTTGTGTCAAACCGAAAATGAGTCTGAATCGCAGCAGCACTTTCAGCACTGAAAATATTCTGCACTTACATCAGGTATGCAGGCACCGGTGAATCCGAAAAGCCCATTTGCATTGTCGCTCTTCATTACTCGCAGAATGGCAGTGGGTCGGGGAAAGGGGAGGCGTGCTCCCCCCTGCGCTCCCACCAACTGGAGATAGAACACCTCCTCTCCCTCCTCTTCCTCATCATCCCTGACCTCCACCACAAAGGACTTCTGCCGCTCATCCTGCCGGTAGCGTAGGTAGCCAGAGACGTTGCGCAGGTCTGATTTAGCAGGCTGAGTGTGGAGCTCGTGGATTTGGCTGCGGTTCAGCTTTGTGTGGTACAAGCGGACGTCTTGCAGCAGGCCAGTGTAGCGCTGTTCCCCCTCTAGATCTGACCCGACAAACAGCGGGGCAGGTCCTGGAGGACGAATCCAAAGACACTGCATGTTATCTCATTTGCATGCTCATTTGATTTTAGAATTTTGCTTGACTTTGTCAGGAAAAAAGTTATTTAAGTCATCTGCAGAATCATTAAGGCTCCTCTGTCTACTTTGGAATGCTTCAACACTGCTCCCAAATGTCTTGGACAGTTTAAATGGTTAAATTACGCCTCGACAAAGATTAGCACACATCTTACTTTATTTTATTTTCCCTTGAGATTAATTAGTATTTGAATATGCAGAGACCACAGCAGCTGAATATAGACTGTAGAAATCTAACTGTAATTAGACTTTTGTGTTAAATTCATCCAAAAAAACTGGTGGATTAATTAATTAATGGTGGAACTAATTTGGATGTTTTGGTTGGGAGGAACTGGAACCACAAACAGAATCTTGATTAAGGCCACCAATTGCGTAGGTCCAGCTCTTTCTCATTACTCATTTATATGCTTACACTTCTCATGCCTATCGCTTTCTGTACTTGTACAAAAAGTGACGAATGCAGGAAATCTGCCCCAGTGAGCACGCACAAAGCTCTAACACAAAGCACTATATGTGTGAGTGGAGTTTCCAGTAGGGGACAATAGCATAGCATGACAGATTATTATGTATAAATTTACTGTGAGTGGGGGCTTAGCCGAAGAAGCATAAGAATATTCCCCTCAGTGAACCTGTGGTGAAATACAGGCAAATGTCTGCACTAATTAAAGAGAATATGAAGAAAAGAAGATGCCGACTGATGTCCTTCAGCAGTAACAATGCCCAGCAGCGCTGCACAGCTACTCAAGCATTGCAGAGTCCCAGGAGTGTAGAACAAAGCGATAACAACTGAGTGGTAGGTCTGTGTGAAAGTCTTCATGCAAATAGCTATTTTATATGGTGTTGGTGGAACACAAAGCCAATGCACTCAGCCAATTTATTATCTAAAATGTTGGCCACTTGTTGCAACCTGTAAGTAACAAGTATAAGAATGTGCTATGAAATACTAGAATAATCTTTTCCTATAGCCGAGGCATAATAGCAGCACACAAAAGCACAAATTCTTTGAGCAATGCAAAATTATCCATTACTTTATGAAAATGAATCGCCTATACATGTGTTTTCCATAAATGTTTGTGATGTCTAAAATGTTCACAAATACCTGCCAGGTGACAGCAGGGAACTAAGAATCTTTTGTACTGGGAGAGTTTGCATGGAACATTTCCAGGGTGTGACTTCCCTTGTGGAAAGAAAGGTGTCCAGTACATTTTACAGACGTGAACCATGGCTTTGATGTGCCATTAGAGGACTTCACAGACAAAATAAGGTCTGTTTAAGTGTAAAAGTATGCCAAATTCAAATAAAGACTAATAAAAAAAAAAGGTTTTCATAGAGAAACTCACCGTCTTGGATGCCTTCACCTTTGACGCTCCTGAGTCCTCCGGGAATAGAGATCCCATCCAAAAAGAATTCAATAATACCGTCATCAACTGTAATGATGATTTGTAGCCACTTATTATCCTCTACAAACTTCTCAGCGGTGGCCCGGGCCACTTGGGTATTATTTGACCTTACTGCTGTATAGTACAGCATCACTGTGACATGAGACTCATTGGTGTGGACCTTTACTCCGTAATACAAACTCCCATTTTCAGTTCCTTTGGACACTATGAAGCCGTCAGTGTTTGGTGTGGGCACTAGCCAAGCAGAGAAGCTGAAGTTTCCAATGGCAGCAGGTGCATCTCCGGGAGAGATGGTCCCAAAAGCTCCTGGAAGCCCTGAGAAAAACCAAGCGTCTGTTGCTGAGTGGTGTCTCCTTGCGTAGGGCCTGAGCTCAACCTCATCCGGAAAGGAAGCTAGGAGCAGCAGGTCATCCATGCGGGGCAGACCCTGTGGGAAGCGTCCAGATACGATCTCCCAAGATACCCTCACATCACCAAAAGTGCCCTGCTGTCGGAGAATGGTGAAGGAGGTGACATCAGCCATATCGTCTTCAGAGAGTACATCCTCAGCTATTTCTTGGTCGAGGTTGTTGTCAGCGATGGCAAAAACTCCAAACGGGTCGTCATTGAAAGGGATGAGAACTGAAACATTTAGAGAAGATTCGGCCAGTTGTCCACCCTCCCCTGGGTATCCCCCTGTCCAGAAAAAAATGACACAGTTTTGAAAAAACAAAGAAGAAAGAAAAAACACAGTATTTAAATTATAAGGTAAGTTCATATTTCCTAATTTGGCCAAACTTAAAAGTTTTACCTGAGATATTTACAAGCCTGAGAACAAAGAATTCATTGAACTCTGGCAGTTTTTCCGAGATGGCCTCAAGTACAATAGGCTTGGTGTCTTCTCCTGTATAAAAGGTGATGGAGCCCGATGTGTTCGTAAACTCCTGGCTCTCTTCAAGCGGAGTCACTGAGTCATTGGCAAACAGCTGCCAGAAGACTGTGACATTGCCAAAATGACCCCTTGCCCGAAGTACACTGGAACACAAGTAGAAATATAGTAATAACTGAATCAAACTGAAAAATCTAGTGAAAAGTTAAAACGACAGAAACTAGGAAAAGGCATAATTTGCATAATAAAGATGAACTGAGGACATATTCTCACTAAAAACTGTTGGTCTTGCCCTCTTCAACAGGTTTTTCTATAGATTCTAAAGAGAATATTCCATTGGCATCGTCGTTGGCTTCAATCACAACAGTAGCAGAGTCTGCTCCATACACAACAGCATCACCTGTGCGGGCACATGACATCAGATTAGCTCAGACATTAAGGTTAAACATGTAGACTGACATGGGCGGCACAAATTACTATTGTCATACTAACAATCCATAGAATGCACGCTCCAGAGAGGAGCTGCCTAGTTAAAATGGCACACCAGATGTGTCACAAGCCCAGGAGGGTAAGCTTTCTTCTCTCTAAATAACCTTTCTTTGATAATAACTAATCAAAGAAAATTGTGGAGCTATAAGTTGTATAAAAATGTGTAAAAAAAAAATATATATTTTTCCCACTTTTACTGGGTTGCCAGCCAGTGCACGGCATCAACCATCCCAATCCAGCCAAAACAAAGAGCGTTCTGCCTTAATAGGGGTTTGGTTATCTTTAAACTTTAGTGTCCCTGCCAGGACAAAGCCGTGTCATAAACCAGAGTTGTTAAAGTAAACACACAGAGGTCAGTGAAGTGGTCACCCTGATTACTAAACTATTAGCTGGGTCCCATGAGCCTTTCTTCCTAATGCATGAAAAAAAATCTTAGATTATAACAGCTTTAAGTGTATTAATGGTTACAAAAAATTGCCACTTGTCATCTCCCTTTTGTGCTTTTTGGTGTTTTTCGTTTTGCTCTATATACTGCTGGACTTTTGTTCGCCTCGTGTGTTTTACCTCCGTATGACAATTAAAATGAATCATTGACTTCTCGCTGTCCCTGCAATGGTTCTCGTGGGTCCACCATCCCTGATTTTTCAAAGCTAATACATCTCTGCTCTGAAAGGAAGCTCACCAGTTGCATTGTAGAGAACGATGTAAAAAGGCTCATCAGTCTCAGGAATGTCGTCGTCTTCAATAGCCACAGAGATGTTCTTCATCCATTCACCCATTTCAAACACCAACAGTGTGTCATTAGTCAGCACCGAAAAGTCGTCTCGTGAGGCGCCCCCGTACTCCACTCGATACATCACTGTTGCCACAAAGTCAGCTTCCCCGGCCCTCACCACGGTGAAGTTGGCAACATCCCCTTCACCAACACGCACAACTACAGGCTCTGAGGTGGGAACGGGATAATGAGGCAGGGTGAGATGAGAGAGAGCTGACAATTAAAGGATTATAAAGACAAGATAGATAGATAGATAGATAGATAGATAGATAGATAGATAGATAGA